ACACACACACACACACACACACACACACACACACGCACACACACACACAGACACAGACACTCTCACACACACAGACACTCTCACACACACAGACACAGACTCTCACTCTCTCACACACACACACACACACACACACACAGACTCTGTAAGGAAGGACAGAATTACGTCCAACTTTTCTTAAAACATACAAGTAAGAGACAAATTTCAGTTTATGAAGTTTCAGCTTAAAGTTTGAGAGGTTTCCTCCAAAAGCTCTGAAACATGGAACTAATGGACCTTAAATTTCAAATAAAGATGTTTAGATGAACAGCAAGTACTAAATATTTCAAAGCAAGGAGGAATGGCAGAGGGTCCCCAAATCCAGGTGTGAAAAACTTGTTGGGTCTTTCCCAAAAAGACTCATGGCTGTATTCGATCAAAAGGGTGCTTCTACTAAATACTGAGCAAAGGGTCTGAATACTTAGGACCATGTGATATTTCAGTTTTTCTTTTTTAATAAATCTGCAAAAATGTCAACAATTCTGTGTTTTTCTGTCAATATGGGGTGCTGTGTGTACATTGAGGAAAAAAAATTAACTTAAATGATTTTAGCAAATGGCTGCAATATAACAAAGAGTGAAAAATTTAAGGGGGTCTGAATACTTTCCGTACCCACAGTATATATATATATAGCCATTCTTAATGTAATCAGTCAACTATGTAAGTACGGTGGCAGCTATTTTAGTATCACTGAAATACTACTACAGTTTTTAATAATATTTTGAAGTAGTTTCTATTTTTATATTTTCTGTTTTCATTTAATTTTTAGCAATTTTGTTGTGTTTTGCCATTTTTATTAGTTTTTTTAAAATCTATTCATATTTTTCATTCATTATGTTAGTTTTAGTTATTTTAGTAGCTCAAGAAATGAAAACGAGGAATTACCCTTAGCAATTAGCTTTTCATATTTTATTTAAAGTTGAATTTATTTCAAGTAACACTTTTGTATGTTTTTAATTTGAGCTAACTATAATAACCCAATATGGTGGTATCTATTCATATAAAATTTTAAATAAGGTTAATTAAGATTGAATTTCTGCTAATGTAAATGTGGTAAATAAAGGTTAGTTTTATACCCTGTTCACTGGGGTGTTTTGCCTTAAATCATCCGCCCAAAACACTGGAGAGGAAGAAAAAAGCCATATTTGCAAGATTAAAGGTTGTGAAACGGCAAACACACCCAAAACCCCTTGAATGAGTGTGTGTTCTGCCCCGGTGTCGGGGTGCTAACCAGCTGCCCTCTCTAGCAGTACGTTTCTGAACTATGAACAATAAGGTTGGCACAGACCAAGCAGTTGGTAATACAGCTTGGCACGCAGACACCGGACGAGAGAGACTGCAGCAAGGGTTTGACGTGATCGTGTGTTATGTTCGTCCACACCTTAGTCTTCGTCTTGGGGCTACCGCTGGAGTCCTGCCCCTCTTCTGCTGATTCGTCGGGCCTCCCGGAGGCTAGCCAGCGGTTCTTGTCCCGCTGAAAGCTGTGCTTTAACGGGGAGCGCGCACCCGAGTCACTGTCCTCAGTGTACGAGTAGCCCGTGGCTGAAGAGGGGATCTCAACATCACTGTACTTTTTTGCTTTATCACGCAGCGCAGGGCAGCGGTACGGATAACCGGTCCTGTAGCCCTGCGGAGAGAGACGCCCCGTCACATGTCGGGTCAAACAGAGAGGCTAAAAGAGAATAGGGCTGTCAAAAACTCAATTAGAATTTTGTACTTAAATATTATCAATATTCGAATTATAATCGATTTCAGTTGGGAGGGAAAAAAGCTTTTGGCTTCTCTCCTGAGGCCACAAGAGGGCGCATCGAGCAAAATATTACTAATGCACGTTTCTTCAAAGTAGGGCTGCACACGTAATCGAATTTTTAATCGCGATTACAATTACGGATGTCACAATTATGTAATCGTTCAAAGCGGCAATTAATCGTATAAAGTCCACTTATGTTATTCTGTGTGCTTAAGATCTGTTTTTTTCTTTCTACAAGTTATCTTAAGGGTTTTTCCATTGTTTTAATATGATATTATAATACCATGCATATTATACCTTTGTTTATTTAAAGAAGAAACCAATCCGATGAATAGATGCCATTTGAGGTTTAATACTATAGAAAAGCAATAAAGGTTTTTCAGTTTAAGGGTTTATTTTCCATCTAAAAATACGGCATGCGGTTGCTTCAAACAATGATATAACATCATTCAATTGTGATAATCGTAATTAATAATCGCAATTACAATTTCAAGGGAATAATCGACAATTATGATCTTTGTCATAATCGTGCAGCCCTACTTCAAAGCATAATAAAATAACACGACTATATTAGAAAAAAGTGCATAATATTTATAAACCTTATATACATTATTTTAAAGTTTATAATTAAAGTTGCTTAAACAATTAGAAACAAAACAGAATCGTGCATGTATGCATAGTTTAATACAAAGGACCGAAAACCAATCACAAAGAGTGCTTTCTTCATTTAAAAACATGAGACGCAGTGGGATGGGGAAAACCGGCAGATAGTCTTGAGACATGTTTTTAAAAAGTTTAACTTGCATTAATTTTACATGGCTTTCTAAACATGCGTCTCTCTTGTGCGAGATGCGAGTGCAACGCTGATAGACGTCCCTCTAGAAAATGTGATAGATATGCGTTCTGTGCCGTGTTAATTTCGTTGACGAATAAATTTCGTCATAATTGTCGTCAAGGACATTTTTTTCACAGACGACGATGAGACGATAACGAACTAAGACTCTTTTTGAATGACAAAAACTATGACGTAAATCTTTGGACATTTTCGTCAACGAATAAAAACGAGACGAAAATGTTAGGGAGGGACGATTTGGGATGAGGTTCATTCAGAACGAATCTGCTGCGTGGTTCGGAGGTTAGATGCGTACATATGAACCGGCGGGACATAAGCTAACATACACTTGCTGCACGTCGCATAAAACGTTCAAAAAATGTCAATATGTGGGAGTAAGAGAAGAGCAGACACTGGTCCGGTTTTCTGAGCGCAGACACTGAAGCATAACGTTACACACACAGAAAGCGCCTCTCACAGGCACATGAATGTAGAATTACACACAAAATTATGTCGAATTGTCCGTTTTGATGAGTATTCACTTAAACACAGTTGATTCCGCCTTAAGTGAACGTAAACAGCATGGAGAACGTGTATCAGTGCATTGCAGCTGTGCATTCGGTTTTAAAGGGACAGCAGCCTAATTTAGTTGCTATTGTCCGAGCCACTGATGTTAATCAAGCAACAACAGAAAGACAGAAAATCACGCACTGCTCCTGACTGAAAAACTTTAGTAGCCTTAAAGATTAATCTAAATTTAATTATAGAAATAAATATGTCTGCTTGAAAGAATGAAGAATATGGTAAACAAGTTGCTATAAAGAATGCATAATTAGCCGATATAACCATTGGTATTTCATTAAAAAGTAGACCATGTTCTTGTTCTTTATGAGAAGTGGTTTTATTTAATGAATGTAGCAGCACCGCATCTAGTGGCTTCAACTGGAAAGGCTAAGAAAAACATTAAAATGCAACGACACTTACATCGTCATCTGAGCCACAGATAAGGCTGCCTGATGCACACCTAAAATTCGAATGCAACTTTTTTGCATTTTTATTTTAAGTTTGACGAATATTAGAAATTCGAAAAAAATTGACAGCCCTAAAAGAGAAGAGTTTGAACCCTGGCCTACCAGATTATCCAGCATCCTCATCAAGGCCTCAAACTCCTGCTCCCCGATCTGCCACTTCGGGTGCGAGCTCGACCCGTCTCCGACCGGCTCGAGGCAGCGTGGACGGGATTTATACTTGCCTGGGTCCAACATTATTAGGTTGTCAGGACCTCCTGCACTGGCGAGGGTGCGCACCTGCAATTTCAGACCGAACAGCATTAACGATGACTGTCGCACTCGATCTCCTTATTGATAGTTTAGAGTGTTTTATCCAGTCAAAGCTCTTTTAGTGTAATTGTACAAGCGTCTAGCTTCAGCTGGAGCTTCTCGTGTCAGATCTTGACTGATTTTGATCAAGTAAGCGTCAGAATAACTGCAGTAATATCTCCAGATGAACTCTTACTGGACTGAAGCAGCTCAGCTTTACTTGATTCTCCATCAATCATGTTTTAGTCTCAAATCTGATCCTCAGGATCTTTTGAGGAGCGTTTGTTTCCAGAAGCTTTACTTTCACTGTTCCTCAGCGGAGGAATGATCTTCACAAGCCTCCAGAACATCTCACATCTTCTGAGGAGCCTTTATTTCTTCAGCTCTCCATCACTGCATTATATGTTTGGAGCACTTCAGTCTCATCTTATTATTATTGGAGATATAGAGCCACGACTGATATTTAGATCATTTGATGTCAGTATCTGCTCTACTGTTATAAAGATCTCACTGATTTACATTACAAGCAGCAGAATTTCATCATAGAAATATCAGCATCTGCAGCAAATTGGTATTTTTTTTCTTTTTTTTTTGGGTCTCGGAATTTTCCTTCATATTTTCACTGTATCAGACTATATGAGCCATAAAAGCTTGACATATCAAATATTATTAAAAACATTTTTTAGGTTCAAAATAAACGTTTCCATTTATTTATTCATTTATTAAAAAAAATAATAATAATAATAAATTCTGACTATGTCAGGCTTCACAGGAGGTTTAAACCCTGCTGGAAACACATTAAATATCCAGAAATTAAAAGTTTTAATTTGATGGTTACCTGAATCTCACAGGCTGTGACTAGGTTATGAACGTAGTAAAATGCCTCTTCGATTGTTTCTCCAACAGACACCAGACCGTGATTCCTCAAAATCAACACCTGAACACACAAACCATTATAAATGACACATTAAAATATCCAGAAATTAAAAGTTTTAATTTGATGGTTACCTGAATCTCACAGGCTGTGACTAGGTTATGAACGTAGTAAAATGCCTCTTCGATTGTTTCTCCAACAGACACCAGACCGTGATTCCTCAAAATCAACACCTGAACACACAAACCATTATAAATGTAATAATTTAACACCATATCAGCAACAAATGCTATATTAATGCTATGCAATTTAAAGTTATCATAATAATAATAATAATACTTCAATTAATTACATAAACACTTTCAATTGGATACTTGATAGAAAATCCATAATTTTCCAAAAATATTTATTTAAATGTCCAATAATGAAATTTCTGAATAAAACCAGTCTCATAAAAGTCATGTCATATTCCAATTCAACCACTTGTCTATAGGTCAAAGACGAAAAAGGGTTTAAGCATAAAAACAATAAATGTAATACAGCTTTAAATTGTTGTTGTTTTTCCCCAAAAAATTAAAAAGTTTTCTGTTTAATTTAATTGCAATTTTGTTTTTGTTTTTCCGTGCAAAAAATAAATATGATACATTTTCCCCTGATTTACAGAAGAGAGCCACTAAAATGTCATTCAGTGTAACAATCCTGTCAGGCATATTTACACCAAAAATCAATTTATGACATATTTAAAGATTAATTACGTTCACCCCAAATACTAATCAGCTGTAATTTTACATTTTTAAAATGTGCCACTATCCTAGGTTTTGCCCATTGGTCAGTAAGAAGTTTTTACTCATTTAAAACACAATCAAATTTAATATGCTCCCTTATTATTTTATATATTTTAATATGCACACGTCAGAATAAGCATGCTGTTTGAATTTCTACATAAATACGGTGTAACACTGAATGACAATGTAACATTATTTCAATCAAATTTTGACATTATCTTTTTTGAAACCTTAAAAGTAGACACTTTACTACAATGCACCAAAAAAGTACAAAAGTACATTATGAAATATTATATGAAGTGTTGCAATTTGCAAATAAAAATGGATAAAACGTAAACGCATAATTTGTTTGTTTGTTCACAAAAATATATATTTTACACCATATCTTTTTTTTTTTTGTATTGATTAAATATAATTTCATTATTATTTTCTATCAATAATTAATTAATATATATATATATATGATATGAATTGGTACCGCGGCGCCAGCGGGTGTGTGAATGTGCACTATGCACTTGACGTCGGGCCGGGCAGCGTAGATGGCGGAGTGGAGGGTGAATCCAGCCTGATTTACACCCAGATTAGTGCTGCCTCTGTCCACAATCTCCCCCTGCAGGTTAATCTTCACCTGAGGACACACACAATCCTGCTAAATACAGAGGTTACACACTACATGATAATATCTGTCAGCCTTTATCTTCTGATGTCCAGATGGCTGAGAAAAACAAAGGCAGGGTTACCAAACTGGAGGCAGTGACTTCACTGTACAGAAGCCCAAAAGGGACAATCAGAAAACGCTCCTGTTCAGAGTTCAGCCGGACCTGAGGAGACCGAGGAAGAGAGCTTGGATTGAAGTCTCGCATGTAACGTGTCCAGTGCTGTATATATTTGTGACGCACTCACCGTCAGGTGGTTGTAGATGAGCTGAGACCAGCCGAAAAGGTCGGCCAGGCGGTAAAACGCGGCGAGTTTACAGCGCAAGAGCTTCTCTCCTTTCTCATAAGCGACGGAGTCTGAACCTCTCAGATCATTCACTGGAGTCACCATCCCCAAACCTGAACACAAACACACACACACACATACATACATACACAAACATATATATACACACACACACACACACACAGACACACATATATACACACACACATATACACACACACACACATACACACACACACAAACACACATATATACAAACACACATATATACACACACACATATATACACACACAGACACACACATATACACACACACACAAATACACACACACACAAATACACACACACACACACAGATAAAAACACACGATTAATGTGTATTAATTAACGATTAATCGTTGCCCAGCACTAATATACTGTGCATATATAGAGAAATTAAATAGTAGCATATTAATGCTCCTGAAGTAACACACTCACTCATGTTGAGGGCTGCCATGCCTCCCTGGGGCGCGGCGGGGTACATGGTGGGGACGCTGGTGGTCATGAAGTCAGCGATCTGCTGCAGCGCCAGCAAACTGGTGGGAGTTTTCCCCTTCTTCATCTGATCCTGGATCAGAGACTCCAGCTCATCACAGAACGCCTGAAACACACAAAACACGCAATTACAACCAGAACTACACGGTTGCTAGGGTGTTGCTAGGTGGTTACCAAGTCAACAGCATCACATTCTAGATATGGCTAAACATGCTGCATGACTTCAGGATACATTTGTGTCTGGGGCAAAAACTTTGTTAAAATGTAATTACTTACTATTGCTTTAGCATCACTAATCACTATATATGAAGACCATTAGCTGGACGAATACAGCTCTTAAGTCAGGACTAAAGAGCAGCTAATGTTAGAGTGACACGCTGAACACACAATGGAGAAAGAGAGAGAGATAATGACACCGGCTGACACAGTCAAGCGCTCTTCATAATTTATGAGTGCATGTTAACAAGAACATCAAACACTTTCTACGGGCCGGCATCTGGAGTCTGAACACAACCGCAGACCAGTGACTTTCTCTTCATGTGGCTCATATAACACGCTAAAATCCAGTTTAAATATAGTATACAAGTATTAGAAGTTCTCGATCTGCGGTACCTGGAATCTCCAAACATACAATACTAATATATATATATATACACACACACTACCGTTCAGAAGTTTGGGATCAGTGAGACTTGTAATGTTTTTAAAGAAGTGTCTTCTGCTCATCAAGGCTGCATTTATTTGATCAAAAACACAGAAAAAATCATTTAAATTGCAAAATGTTATTACAATATAAAATAATGGTTTCTATTTTAATATCCTTTAAAATATAATTTATTTCTGTGATGCAAAGCTGAATTTCCATCATCATTACTGCAGTATAAAGCGTCACGTGATCTTCAGAAATCATTCTAATATGCTGATTTATTATTATTATTATTATCAATGTTGTGCTGACAAATATTATTTTGGAAACTGATACTTTATTCAGGATTCTTTGATGAATAAAAAGTTAAAAAGAACAGAATTTATTCAAAATATATATCTTTTTTAACAATATAAATCTTTGCTATCACTTCTTATCAATTTACCGCCAAAACATGCGTATTTTATCCTCGGAACGTGATTTTTAACGGGGGACCCCCTCGAATCAAGTTCAAGCAGGTAAGTTTCAATTACATTTTTAATATTTAGAGCTTCTGTTAAGAATATTATTCCATATTTTAATTTGAATTTCGGATTGAAATAAACCTCGCCGTTAGCGTAAGCGCGGCTAACACTAATATAATGAGCACTAGAATGAATTTTGTTCAAAATGATTTCTTTGTTAACTATTTAATGCTCCTATAACTTTTATTACTGTAAAAAACAGGAGGACATAATGGTATGTACTATTTTTACACACCAGAGGCTTTTAAACGAACTGTGTAACCAAAATATGCGTGTTAGAGAACGTACAAATGTACGGTTAACAGTGTCATATCAGTCCGTCAGGAAAAGTTTTTGTGTTTTTTTTTTTTAGTCAGTTAGTTGTAATTCTTGGCTGAATATCTCTATCAGGTTTTAAAAGCCCTATAAAATTAAGGTTTAAATAAAAGTACAGTCAAATGTTATCTCCTGTATAGACTTTACTGTACAATGTTAGATCTAGTAACATCTTACAGCGAGTGAACAATATATTTTTAAAACATTCATTCATGTTTGTGCATGTTATTTAATACAAACACTTGATCATTCATGTTTGTGCATTGTGCATTAAATAATTTTAACAGATTGAACTTTGAAATTAACCCTAAGAAGAATAATTGCTATATAACTATTGTTAGGTCATGTTATCTAACAAATAAAAGCTTATTGTAAAGTGTTTTTAATACTAGTTTCCATCTATTTGATACACTTAATATTTGTAATCTTATCTAAATTTCTTATAAAAGCTGAGGTTTGTTATTTACTGAAAGTGATATTTTAGCTGGTGTCAGTGATCTAATGTTGCATTTGGTCAGACTCAGCCCATTGCTTTAC